AGGTTTAGTGTTGCCAGAGCAACGCTTTGCCACTTTTATCGCGAAGGGAGGAAATAGAATATTTGCTGTTCTCATAATCTGGTTGAAATTCATACACACTTTTCCTTGAAGATCCAATCCTCAATAAAGCTTATGTCTTGACATTTAAGGTGTGTTGATTGATTCACAACATTAACTTATGCAGGAAAAACATTCCACCTTAAAAGTTGCTGGTAGCCTTTGAGTGGAAGAATGAATTAAACACTTCTTCTCCAGTCTCTGTGCTACTTAAAGAGCACTAAAGGTCTTTGTTTTTCAGGGGGGTCAGTGATCCTGGATAGTCCAGTCCTTTCTGTAAGAAAAGGTTACAATGTGACTCTGAGCTGCAGAAACAAGACGACTTCCTCCAACCTCACAGCTGGTTTCTATAAAGATGGCCTCCTCATGGGCAGCAGCTCTACAGGAGAGATGATCATCCACAGTGTTTCCAAGTCTGATGAAGGACTCTACAAGTGTAAGATCTCTGGAGCTGGAGAATCAGCAGAGAGCTGGTTGGCTGTCAGAGGTGAGACATTGCACTGTTTATCTTCTAATGGTTGTATAAAAAGCAGAACAGCAACCTGATAGATGTTCAGTATGTACCAGAGTAATGCTACAGCAGCCCTTAGAGACAACCTGTGACACACTGTTAATACTGTCATGCTGTTACAGCACATATATCCTCTTGTCTTTGCAGCTCTTCACACAGAGACTTGTCCCTCCTCAGATCACTCCTTTTATGTTCTCCTCCTCTTAAGGACTGTGTTCACCATTGTGATGGTGGCTCTGCTGCTGCTGCTGGTGGGACTACTTCACTGTGGGAAACTCACAGTTACACAGAAAACTCATGCTCATATATAAAGGTAACCAACTAATACAGAGTATATTTGTCACTCTCTCACCCACAGAGGTACTGACTGATGTATGAAGTATTTATAAAAGGCGAGCTGATGGTTTATGTTGTTCTGTGTTTTGTTTTAGACTGATGATGCTGGTGATAATTTGAGCTTCTCAGACACAAACCACATGAGAAAACGTGTGTATGTAGAAGAGGCATTCAGGAGCCTCGGTAGAAACAGTAAAACGTTAGTGGTTTGATAGAGCTGAGTAGGTGAACTGTGTCTCGAGTAGGCCTCATATATATTCATCAATGTAACCACAGAATATGAAGTAATAATAAAAATATATTCACATTAAACCGTTGGTTACTGAGCCCCTGACTTTAGTTTAGTCTGTCCCAAAATAGCAATACAAAACACTTTTTTGCTCAGGAAGGTTCCTGACTGAGTGAAAGGACCTGGAAGGATTTCAGTGGCAGCCATGATCAGAGAACATTCTCTAAATGCTGAGGAAAGATGCTTCGATGCTTCCTTTCTTATCTCTATAGCATCGGATACACTGGACCATCTTTTTAGCTACAAAAGGAGATAATGCCATCCCACAATTCCTTGCAGCAGCAGCATTTAAAAAGCTGCCTGGTTTACGAATACAAACAATCAAAGGACGCACATCAACTTCTAAGTGACAGTCCCATTTTCATCTTATGCCACAATTTGCTAATATGTTCATATGTTTTGAACTTTTAACAACATGTTACAGCCATTACTGAACGCTACTGTTGCACAATCAGTTGGTTATGAAGTTGTCAGCCTGTGTGAAGCACTTTGTAATGTGTAGAAACATTATGATATTAAAATGATCAAAGTGAAGTTCAGACAGTCAGTGCATAATGTTGTGTTGGTCTTCCTCATATTGGCCTTTGTTGTATTGCCAGTCTTTAAGACTATCATTTAAATATTTGAATTGATCTTCAGTCACAGATTCTGAAACTTAATAACGTAATAATGATCAGATTCACAATGACTTTTATTGCCAAGTAGGTTTTCACATAAAGGAAATTGCCTTTGTATATTGGTGTATAACAACAAACACAGGGCAATGGAAACATGTAGAGCACGTCAAGAAGCATAATGAGAGGAATAGAAAATTTAAAATAATATACAAAAACATATTATAAAGACAATAAAAGACATCATGTAAAATTGGTTGCTATTTCAAGAAGAGTAAAATGTATATAAAGAATTTTGCAATGCAGACGAAGATTCTGCATATGTGCAGATCATTAATTTTTTTTAATTTATTAAGAGTTAAATCACACTTTTAATGAAATTTCACTCAATCTCAAAGGACATACCCAGTATGTTAAAATAATGTACCAATTAAAAGAGCTGATTTAAAAAGCGATTAGATAGAATAATTAGTTTAGGTTACTTTTAGTTTCATCAACAGAAAAAATAAGTCCATAAAAAAGATAGATAGATAGATAGATAGATAGATAGATAGATAGATAGATAGATAGATAGATAGATAGATAAACCTACATTTTAAATTCAATAACAAATAATACAAAACATAGAAAGACAAAAAATATCTTCACTGTGAAGAAGATCCAAAAGACAACTGTTACAAATCTGCTGTTTACTGTTTGTACATTAGTTTTGCACCTCAATGGAAAAGAAACTTTAGCATAAATAATAAAAAATGGTAAATAATAATTCCTGAGTTACATTAGATCTGATTTAGAGTCAGGGTTTAATTTATTTGAACCATTTTAATAGTTAAATTCTAATAATTCTATTATAGTAATTTATATTTAGCTTTTTTCAGCACATTTGAAACAGAAGATGTTTTGAATTGTTAAGAATAAAAATATAATGTGTTATATTCAATATTCATGAAAGAAAAGGGGTTCATTGTTTTTTTACTGATTGTAAAGTCATGTGACCACATCTTTACGACTTTATTATGTTCACAGGAAGATCTGAGTCTGCTGTCTCTGATGTTTAACACTGCACTCTTTACTCTTCAGGATGCATGTTGGTGTAGGCTGGGCTATCATTATTATATTTCAGTGGCTATAAACTGAGAGATGTTGGATCTTTCCAGTGTCCCCAATGAGGGCCACCTGCAGTCTGTCTGCAGAGCTCCAGGACAGGGCGAGTACAACGGGTACCATAATCCGAGTGTGACATCTGTGAAATGAAAAGGTCACACACTGACAAGCAGAATCATTCAACAGTTTAAGTTAAATATAGTCATAATGATAATAATAGTGTTGCTTTTGTTATTATTATTTTTTATCATATTTTCTTTTATCTCAATGGAACTCATCCACAGTGCTGAATGGAATAAGTGGATGTGAGTAGGAAGACTAACAAACAAATGTTAGTGTGTTAAATTCATTGTGTGTGATTGAATGTCATTTCCCTCTTTACATGGAAACAAGAGAAATGGATCGTAGGGTAAATAACAGGTTATTCATTTGTTTGAATGGCTTATTTGAAATGTTATTGTTGTGCATATTGTACACACGTACACACTGTAGAACTCTAACAGTGTTCATCCACACACACACACATTACCTTAAGGTGTTTCTGAGAGGGATGTAATACCTTTACTAGTCAGCTTCATCCTGCTGAGAGGGAAACGACACACACAGATTAGTTATTCAGGATAAATCAACTAGCTAACAGACAGACAGACAGATGGATATTGATCTGTCAGCAGTGTTTTACTGTAGTTCATTCAGACAACTCATATTTGAAATGTTATTACAACAGTATAACTATTTAGATCTTGGCGTCCAGGCTCCGACCTCATCCCTCCCTGCAGATATGTTTACATAGAGATATTGGGGAGTGAAATACCGTAGACCCCTAGCCGGAGCCTACAGGTTGACATTGAACAAGTAAAAAACTATCTTTGCTTCACTGTTTACATTTACAGAGGAATTATAATAGTTATTGTGACTTTTTGTTATATGGAGAGGTGATGATAATGGTAGTGTCTCAGATATAGACTGTCTTGGTTTCAGATAAATATAAATAATTTTTGAAGAAGATTAAAAGACAGTGAGATGAAAACACTGCTCCATTAATTTACAGTGTTTTAAGATAGAAAATGTACCTTGGTCTCCTTCTTTAGGTTCTCCACTTTTTTCTCAGCTTCGTCCTTTTTCTTCTTCTCCTCCGTGAGCTTATTTTCCAATGGAAGGAAAAAGAGGGATGAAGAGAGATTTAAAGTGCCCATAGTTTAGTCGGGTTCAACCTCTGTTTATACTGTGAATATATACTGTAAATATCAGCTGTAACAATCAGTGCACTACTAAACTGATGAATTCAACATGTAATTCTAAAATAAGAGCATTAAAGTAAAGAAGCAGAATGTCTCAAAGTCAGCAGTGTCAGCAGGGTTCAACAACAAAATCTAATCTTTATCATATTTATAGAATGAATACATTCACTGTTACACTGCTCTGTGTTTCTGTCAACCTGAGTCCACTTTCATATATAATATAATATGGTATATAATAACCACCAGAGTGAGTTAATCATTGCATTCACTGTATTTAAACTCTGATTTTGACATTGATACAATCACAGGTCTGATTAAATATGAAATATGGACAACAGGAGGCACTGTGTTCTGTCTCCTCTTAGAACTGCACTCTTTCAGCAGCTCTGCTCTTCTTCATCCCAAATGAATCTGTTACAATTTCTCTTAATTGACCTAGACATAAGTGTAGTCACTGTGATCTCTGTGATATCAAACTTATATGTGTTCTGGTTCTGTTTTTTTTTTTTCTTTTCTGTGAAATCAAACTGGTTTATGCTCCTTTCTGTATTTTGTCAACTTCATCAAGGTGCAGTTCAGTTTGTGGTAAAGAGAATGGTTACCACTAGAATACATGTATTTGTATTTTGATTTCAGAAGAAACAAAAACCATTTAAAATCAAATAAACAATAAGACATTACAGGAAGTTACTCCATAGTCTGATTTGTGTTTAAAAATGTTTCACAATATATAAACTATTAGCCAGCTGGAAATAAATCAGTGTGTTGAGAAAAGATGGAGAAAGTATCAATGACAATGAAATAAACTGATAGTGATTAAAGTAAATTATATTTACAAATCTACAAACCTCTGTGATCTTAGTCTGCAGCTTCTCCTCAGCTTCCCTCGTCCTCTGCTGTTCTTCCTGGAGCTGAGTGGAGAAACATGTTCTTTCATTAAGACGAGTAAGGGAACATGACAACAGGGACAGACAAACAACCCATTGATGTTCACTATATCAGAAACAGGTAAGGGAACATGACAGAAACAATGGAGTTAGAAAGCTGTAAATAAATCTTTTGCAATATGTTTTTCTCTTTCCCAATAAACAGTTGAGTATCTTTTTTTTAACCTTTGTTTTTTTACATTGGTCCTTATCTTAGATACAAGATGTAATGCTGTTTCTGGCTTTGCTCCTGCTCCTGATATTTGTCATTGTATAAGTTCTAATAAACAGAATGCAGCAGTGAAAGTGGGAAAGAAAAGAAAAGTGCAGCTGTGAGACATTTAAGTTAGTAATGATCAGATGAACCTCTTTGTTCAGGTTCTTCACTTGATCCTTCCTGTCCTGTTTCTCCTTCAGGAGCTGATTGTTCAGGTTCTCCACGTCCTTCTGCCTGTCCTGTTTCTCCTTCAGGAGCTGTTTGTTCAGGTTCTCCACGTCCTTCTGCCTGTCCTGTTTCTCCTTCAGGAGCTGTTTGTGGGTTTCAGCCTGTTTTCCCTCCAACTGGGAGTGCAGAGAGACATGGAGACAGACTGTGAGATCCAACACATTCAATCTTAAAGTAAAAAGGCTACTCTACTTAAATTCATGAATCAAGAAGAGTTTTTTTAATTTAATCTTTCAACCTTAAAATACTTTGACTCTTTGTGTGGTTGATGTTGTTATACATTGAAATATTCTAAAGATAAAATACAGCAGTAATATGAGATTTAACACTAAAAACAACAAACAGGTAGGTGTAAACAAAACTCGATATGCTCGATATTGGCTTTTCTGCAGATATCCGATATTCCGATATTGTCCAACTCTCAATTTCCGATACCGATATATGCAGGCTTTTAACACCAAAACTGTTAATACCAACATAACATATCTCCTATTGTGGAATTAACACATTATGCCTCATTTTATTGTGATGCCCCACTGGTAGGGTGGCCATTTCCGTCACATCAAACAGGAGGACACTTTACATACACGGGGACACGCAAGCAGATATTTGTTTGGTATGATCCGGTTTTAAATTTGAATGTTTTTCCACCAGATTACATAAAGGTGCATACACATACCACATAGCTAATAATAAATATGAGTATGAGCATTTTCAGAATTTCAGTCCAACAACCGATGTTATGTTCTCTGTCACTGAGAGCTTGATTGACAGCCTGGTGGTAACAACTGGGAGTGAGCACACATGGCTCATTTGAATATTTAAATTAGCCATGTGTTGATAGGTCACAACAGATAATGTAACCAATGAAATTACTTATTTTGACACACATTTTTAGCCAATAAGTATTAAACTAACGAGGTAATGTGTCAAAAGGCGACCTTTTTAGTTATTTTCTCAAAAGGAGGACAAATGAGTGTCCAGCTTAAAGCTGCACTTGCAGCCCAATATCATCCAACTGCAGCCACAAATGGGCGTTCTCGTGCTGGTGGGGGTTCCCGTTTTCGCTGACTGGAACGCCCCCTTCTTCTTCGCCTTTCTTGCTGAACTGTAACTGTCAACATCCGGTTTAATATAACATTCGCTCGTTAGTGTTTCTCAACAGAAGTTTCAAAATAAGATCTAGTAGTCTGTAAATGTATTATAGAACTAACGTTAGCAAGCTAAGCCATCTACAGAACCTTAGTCCAATTACATCTTAATATGCTTACATTTACGTGTAGGACTAGTCCATATTTCTACCAGTTGTTGAGGACAATTCATACTTTGCAGTCGCGTGATTACCATGGTTACCTGGTGGGCAAGAAACATATATTTACATATATCCGTAAAAAATGAAAGCCTACAAAAGTACAGATAGCTATCTTTCTTCAAGAGTGGATGGGTTAACAACGCTGTCGTATGGGAGGTGAGAATCAGCTAACGTTTGCGAATGTTTGTATGTTTGTAGCTCTACACAAAGTGACATCTGAAGTCTTCATCTGAATATGTACACCCTGCCTGCCGCCAATGACAGCTTGATAAGTAACGTTAGTTTAAAAAAACCTTATGCCAACTAGACTGTATCATATATGGCTAACAGGATGTCAGACATTGTAGCCTACCTGCTCATCCACTCCACATAGCATCAGACAACAGACAAGAGCAGCTGGAGCAGTGAAATGTCTTTAATCCTGTTAGTAATCTGTTAGGTTGTAACGTTAATGTAGTAGTAATAACTGTACCATAATAACGTTATGTATGCAAAGTAACTGTAAGTAAGTAGACGCAGTACAACAGTAACATGTATTCTTCTTCTCATCAAGTAAAATCACGTACATATGATATATATATATACTTCTGTACAGTAAAACTGGCGACGTCCTGGTAAGATCCTTGATTAGTTTACTGGGTTCCGTTGCTGGAGAACGATGTTCTTGCCCGCCAGCTAGTAGCTGTGACGTCACGTGCAAAGTATGAATTGCGATTGGTCGATGAAACACTACCAGGAACGCCCAAGCCGCAGCTGGACCCTTCTCCTGCAGCCGGACAGGGCGTTTAAAAGCCGGACGAGTGGCCACCCTACCCACTGGATGCATACATCAATGCAACATTTCCAAATGTAAACACTGTCTGTGCAAAATAAGAGAACAACTTCAACTTGCATTGTATCGCTAGATAAGCGCTAGCTTTGGTTAATGTGTTTTATTGTATTATCCACCTGAAGGAGTGCTAATGTAAATTCTAAGCCAGTTGTTAGTTTGGTTAAGGAACAGCTCATAGCAGTGTCAAATATTTAAGGTGCATTGCACTTATTTTGTGTTAATATTAAAATCATTCAGCTTTAAATTGTTTGCTTGTTAGCCACAGTTAGCAACCAACCAGTCTAGTTGTTGTTGTTGTTGTTGTTGTTGTTGTTATAAGCAATATATATTCCCGATATCGTCGAAACAATTAACTAAATATCAATAAAAGATGAACCTGTGTTATCTTGGTGTTCAGCTCATCCTCCATCCTCTGCTTCTCTCCACGGAGCTTCTGCAGCTCAGATTCTTTGAGTTTGACCTGGAAGGACAGAGAGAAGGTCCAGAGAGACAATGAGGGACATGTTCACTAATTAACATTTTAAACTTTATACTACAAACTGACAAAAACATGTCAGACAAACAACCCATTGATGTTCAGTATATCAGAAACAGGTAAGGGAACATGACAGAAACAATGGAGTTAGAAAGCTGTAAATAAATCTTTAAATATTAATTAATTAAATACATATTTTTTTTCTCTTTCCCAATAAACAGATCTTTTTTTATCTTTCTTTTTACATTGGTCCTTATCTTAGATACAAGATGTAATGCTGTTTCTGGCTTTGTCTCTTGGTTTTGATGTAATCGGACTTTAATCCTGCTGCTGATATTTGTCATTGTATATCTCTCTATTAAAGCAAGAAATCTGTCTGTCTGTCTGTCTGTCTGTCTGTCTCTCGTCTGTCTGTCTGTGTGTGCCTCAAATATCTCTGCAGATCAGGATCAGACTGACCTGAGAGTTTCAACATGGCTGCTGTGTGGTTTAAGGGTGTGCAACGTCGGCTTTGTTTGGACTACAAAGATACCGTTAATAAATGATTTCATAAATGATTTACGAATTCCGCTAGCATTGTCAACCATAGCCACCATAACCACGTGCACACCAGAGCCAATCACTGCAGAGCCAATCCCTGCAGAGCCAATCCCTGCAGAGCCAATCCCTGCAGAGCCAATCCCTGCAGAGCCCACCCCCATGACACACCTCAGGAAACACGCTGATCTATACCTGCAGCGGCGCGAGCGGCTTTATACCTGCAGCGGGTTTTGCCGGCTGTTCGGTCCCGTTCTGTGCATCTAAACTGACTGTTGAGGATTACTGAGACTGAACGAGTCCGGACCGAGTCTGTTCCGGTCTGAGGAGATCCGCATACGCGAGGACAACAAACTGGAATCGAAATCTGTGGATGTTCATCTGTAGCTAGCTGCTCCATGAAAAAGCTACTTAACCTCCCACTTTTATATAGCAATACATACTTCCTACGGGCACTGCACTAGTGTTCTAATAAACACAGAATGCAGCAGTGAAAGTGGGAAGGAAAAGAAAAGTGCAGCTGTGAGACATTTAAGTTAGTAATGATCAGATGAACCTCTTTGTTCAGGTTCTTCACTTGATCCTTCCTGTCCTGTTTCTCCTTCAGGAGCTGATTGTTCAGGTTCTCCACGTCCTTCTGCCTGTCCTGTTTCTCCTTCAGGAGCTGATTGTTCAGGTTCTCCACGTCCTTCTGTCTGTCCTGTTTCTCCTTCAGGAGCTGATTGTTCAGGTTCTCCACGTCCTTCTGCCTGTCCTGTTTCTCCTGCAGGAGCTGTTTGTGGGTTTCAGCCTGTTTTCCCTCCAACTGGGAGTGCAGAGAGACATGGAGACAGACTGTGAGATCCAACACATTCATTCCTAAAGTAAAAGAGGCTACTCTACTTAAATTCATGAACCACTTAATTCAATTAATCTTAAAATACTTTGACTCTTTGTGTGGTTGATGTATGTATAATGAAATATTCTAAAATAATAAGCAGTAATTATGAGTTTTAAAACTAAAAACAAACAAATAGGTGGATTTTTTTTTTTTTTTTGATTATTATTTTTTTTTTATTAAAATTTTTAATTTGGAGGGGAGAAAGGGGACAGGACGAGGTTTTCTCCAGCACTCCAAAAATACGTGTGTTTAGCTGCTAAATGCTCCACTGTGTTCACCAGCTAGTCTCTGACTGTGTCTGTGTGCTGCTAATAAAGCTAATGTACAGTGGGTTCTTGTAATCGGACTTTAAACCTGCTCCTGATATTTGTCATTGTATAAGTTCTATAAAAATTCAATTTCTACTAAAAATTTATTGACCTGAGGAACATAAGTGTAGTCACTGTGATCTCTGTGATATCAAACTTATATGTGTTCTGGTTCTGTTTTTTTTTTTTTCTTTCTGTGAAATAAAACTGGTCTTATGCTCCTTTCTGTATTTTGTCAACTTCATCAAGAGTGAGAACAGTTCAGTTTGTGGTAAAGAGAATGGTTACCCATTGATGTTCATTATATCAGAAACAGGTAAGGGAACATACCAGAAACAATGGTGTTAGAAAGCTGTAAATAAATCTTTTGCAATATTTTTTTCTCTTTCCCAATAAACAGTTGAGTATCTTTTTTTAATCTTTTTTTTAATCTTTTTATTTTCATTGGTCCTTATCTTAGATACAAGATGTAATGCTGTAACTGGCTTTGTCTCTTGATTTTGATGTAATCAGACTTTAAACCTGCTCCTGATATTTGTCATTGTATAAGTTCTAATAAACACAGAATGCAGCAGTGAAAGTGGGAAGGAAAAGAAAAGTGCAGCTGTGAGACATTTAAGTTAGTAATGATCAGATGAACCTCTTTGTTCTTGGACTCCAGCTGAGTTTTTTGTGGTCTCCAGCTCTTCTTTCAGGGTCTCCTCTCTTTTCTCAGCATCCTCCCTCGTCTTCCTTTCCTCCTGGAGCTGTCGAGAGAGGAGACAGGATGAATTGAGATATGAGTGAAATAACCACACAGTGACAGAAAGAAACATTTATCCTGACTCAAGTCTGACTTTTGCACTGCAATGGAGAAGATGCAGTTATTAATGTAACAGTAATGTTTAATATAAGCAGTGTGAAGTTGGAGTCTGCAGCGGGTCAAACTGAATTCAGAACAGCTTTAAATCAAGTCCCAGTTTAATCTTAAGACCCTCAACACCAAAAGGTGCTTACTGTCAAATAAAAACTTAAATGTTGTGTCCAGTTGGAAAACTCTAGAAATGTTCATATTAATAGATTGTTGAATTCTGAATGAGGTAGAAAGAGTAGAAGCATTTTAAGGTGGACATTATGACTTTTTTCCTTTAAATAAAATATAAACCTCTTTTACCTTGTTGTTCAACTCTGCTTGAAGTTTCTTCTTTGCATCCTCACTCTTCTGCTTCTCCTCAGTGAGCTTCTCCCCCAGAGAGGAGAGGGAAGATAAAGACAGAAGATAAACATACTATGTCATAGATAAACATCACATAGTGGGGGGCAGTAGCTCAGTGTGTAGGGACTTGGGAACCGGTTCAAGTCCCACAGACCACAGTATGGAGTATGGACTGGTAGCTGGAGAGGTGCCAGTTTCACCTGCTGTGCACTGCCGAGGTGCCCTTGAGCAAGGCAACCTAACCCCAAGAAACTGCTCATGGGTAGCTGCTAATGTGGCAGCTCATCACTCCACCATCTCTCTCCCTGTTTGTATGTCCACAAGCCCTGCATGTGCATGAGTGTGCATTTCAGCCTGTGTGTGTATACAATAAAATAAAAGCAGAGAAAAGAATAATTTCTCCATTAGGGGATTAATGAAGTATATTTAAAAAAATGAATTAATAACAGGAAGGTTCTCCATGATCTGACCTGTACAGCTCTGCTGTCTGCTGTTTGCTGCTGAGCAGGTAGTGCACAGTGGGTTCTTACAGTTTGTTCTCTTGAAACAGCTTCCTGCCTCTGACAGTAACACTATGAGAGCAGTGACAGTGAACCAACACTGTGAAGCTGTGTGTGGACAGATAAACAATGAGCTGAAACTCACTATAAAGCTCTGTAAAGCTGAGAGGAGCTGCAGATTCAGCTCATAATGCTCTGTAGCTTCATCACTACCAGAAGCACCCTTTTCATATGATCCTCATGTTGGCATTTGATACAGTGTTATTATACAAAGATCACCTTTAGCAGCTTTAAATCATCATATCTTTTAATGTGTGTTTGTGGTCAGTGTGAGCATTTGGTAAAACAAGGTAATAGTGGGTAATACCATGGCAGTTACAGAGGAAATAATGCAGTAATATTTAATAATAATAGTAGTGCTGGTATTGGAATTGATAATAATGGGTAAAACCAGCTCAAGGTAATGCTGGGATAACAACAGGCTCATGTGCACATAATAAAGTGCTTAGAGAATATCTGTAAGACTGCATAAAGACCAATGTTAGCACTGCATCTAAAAGATAGAGTCTCCACATTCATTTCAATAGTTATGTTTCTGTTCATTTACCACTCAGCTGCAATGTCTAGCAGACTTCATTATTTTATGTTAACATTCATTTATTTCATGTTTACTGTTTGAAACACCGAGCTCTCCACTGCAAGGACTTTAAACCTGCTCCTGATATTTGTCATTGTATATGTAAGGGATAATGCACTATGAGGTGTCCATAATCAGGAATTAATGGACAACCAAAGTCCATTAATTCCTGATTATGGACACCTTGAAGGACATTATCCCTCTTATACCATGGTCACTTGCCAAAGAAAATAAATTAAGACCATTCATTTATATTTTCATGCGTTTTACAATCAAAATATAAAGTTTTTCACAAGCCATAATTTAGTTTCCGTGGTAACGCCTGAGGGTTTGACTAATACCTGGAACAATCATTATCCTCCTGCAACGGAAACGTTGTTCACTCCTCCAGTAAATAGGACGGACCTTAGATACGACTTGGCAACGGGAGATAAGCAGCGAGTTGAACAGCGAGCGGGATGTGAGTTGATCTCTTATGTGATACAAAGGATCAGTAAGTTCAGAGGGGAAGTGTTCTTCTTGCAGCTTGAGTGTTACAGTTAAAAGAAATGTTGAAGTCACTCATTGTTGTTAGTTTGTTAAGGTGTTGCAATAAATTGGAAACAGAGGCTTTGACTGCGTTCCCGTTGCTATGGTTACTCATTTTAGAGACAGCCTGATACGCCAGCTAGCGCATTCATTTAGAACGGTGAACAGACAATTTGACTGGAACTACTTAGAAGGTGTCCATATATCGGGGATTAATGGACACCCTGCAGCCAATCAGAATGGAGTATTCCCCCAGATCATTGTATAAGTTCTAATAAACACAGAATGCAGCAGTGAAAGTGGGAAGGAAAGAAAAGTGCAGCTGTGAGACATTTAAGTTAGTAATGATCAGATGAACCTCTTTCTTCTTGGACTCCACGTCCTCCTTCCTGTCCTGTTTCTCCTTCAGGAGCTGATTGTGGGTTTCAGCCTGTTTTCCCTCCAACTGGGAGTGCAGAGAGACATGGAGACAGACTGTGAGATCCAACACATTCAATCCTAAAGTAAAAAGGCTACTCTACTTAAATTCATGAACCCAATTCAATTAATCTTAAAATACTTTGACTCTTTGTGTGGTTGATGTTGTTATACATTGAAATATTCTAAAGATATAATACAGCAGTAATATGAGATTTTAAGGTAAAAACAAACAAATATGTGGATGTAAGCAAAAATGAATATCAATAAAAGATGAACCTGTGTTATCTTGGTGTTCAGCTCATTCTTATAGGGTTCTTACAGCTTTCTCACTGAAAGCAGCTGCTGCAGCTGGAAACCACACTATGAGAGCAGTGACAGTGAACCAACACTGTGATAAGTTCAGCACAAATTCTTCCTTTGCAATATTATGGATTTTATTTGTTATTCTTTGTTTTTTCTGCAGCCAATAAAATACAGTTGAGTATTTTAGTCTTTTGGTCCTGATCTGAAACACAAGCTGTCGAGCTGCTTTTGGTTTTGACTCCTGCTTTTGAAGTGATCTGCTTTAAAAGAGGACTTTAATCCTTGTCCTGACATTTGTCATTTTACATATTCATATAAAGTAAACATCCAACTTCTACCTGGAAATCAACTTTCAGTGAAAGTGGAGGAACAAAGTGCAGCTGTGAGACATTTAAGGACTGAGGACAAATCAGGCTGGACACAAAGAAAATCAACATGAATAAACTGATAGTGATTAAAGTAAATTATATTTACAAATCTACGAACCTCTGTGATCTTAGTCTGCAGCTTCTCCTCACTTCCTTCCCTGCTAAATTTTTAAAAAAAAAAAAAAATTTTAAATTTTTTTTTTTTTTTTTTTTTTTTTTCTTATTAAATTTTTTTTTTTTTTTTTTTTTTTTTTTTTTTTTTTTTTTTTTTAAATTTTTTTTTTTTTTTTTTTTTTTTTTTTTTTTTTTTAATTTTTTTCTTTTTTTTTTTTTTTTTTTTATTTTTATAAAAAAAAAAGGGAAGGGGGGGGGGGGGGAAGAGAGGGGGCGGGGGAATTTTATTTTATTAATAACAAGAGACCTCTTTTTTGTTCTCCCCCTCCTTCCTGTTCTGTTTCTCCTTCAGGAGCTGACTGAGTTTCAGCCTGTTTTCCCTCCAACTGGGAGTGCAGAGAGACATGGAGACAGACTGTGAGATCCAACACATTCAATCCTAAAGTAAAAAGGCTACTCTACTTAAATTCATGAACCCAATTCAAAATCTTAAAATACTTTGACTCTTTGTGTTGTTGATGTATGTGTGTAAATAAAGCAGTAATTATGAGTTTTAAAACTAAAAACAAATAGGTGGGTGTAAACAAAAATCAACATATACATGTCAGCTGATTTGTCCTCCAGCTAAAAGACAGACAGACAGACAGACAGACAGACAGACAGACAGACAGACAGACAGATGTTAATCAGCAGGAAGTGACAGCCTGACACAGAACCTGAGAATATCTGGACTGTTGAACATTAACGTTTCCTCTCAGAACTGATGGCTGAATACAACAGTTTGTATCATAATCAGACAGACACACAATAAATATAGATTCAGCTGGTAGTTTTCTTTGTAATGTGAGATTATTGAACACTAATGTTCTGTGTGAGTCCCTGCAGACTCTGGAACAGCTCAAATAAATACACTTAGCATTGTTTCATCATCACACTTCATGACTTTTATGTTTCAGTAGTCTGCTCCTGAACATGAAATCACTTCTGCTGTAAAACCTGGTTGACGGATTTCCATCTGCTTTCTATCTGTGATGATGATGATGATGATGATGATGATGATGAGAGAACTTGTATACAGCTCTGCTCTCCTTCATCCCAAATCAATCTATGTGAGTTTCTCTTGTCTCTCTTTTATAACAGTTAGTTGAACTGACCTCAAACATCAGTCACAGCACTGTGTAGGATATCATACATTGTCTGTGATGTGTCTGTCAGGATATATTTCTTATTTGCTTTAAATAAAACTGCTTTATGCTCATTTCTGTATTTGTTCACCAGTTCAGTTTGTTGGAAACAGAATGGTTGGGAAGATACAAAGAGAATCAACACCACATTCATGTACTGTGTATGAAAAGGAAACAAGACAACAGTGACAGCCAAACAGGTCTGTCAGGTTACAAATATATGTACAGTATCTCAGCAGGGAGCATGACAACAAAGGAGAGTTTGATATTTAAAAGTCACAATGCTATATTTTTGATAGAGATCAATCTGAAGGAGAACTTAAAGGAAAGAAACCTTCTGTGGAAAATACAAATACCAACCTCTGTGGTCTTATTCTGTAGGTTCTCCTCAGCTTTGTTCCTCCTCTGCTGTTCTTCCTGGAGCTGAGTGGAGAAACATGTTCTTTCATTAAGACGAGTAAGGGAACATGACAACAGGGACAGACAAACAACCCACTGATGTTCACTATATCAGAAACAGGTAAGGGAACATGACAGAAACAATGGAGTTAGAAAGCTGTAAATAAATTTTTTGCAGTATTTTGGCTTTTTATATTTTTTGTTTTTTCTCTCTTTCCCAATAAACGACAGAGTATCTTCTCTTTTTGTACTTTGGTCCTGATCTTAGATACAAGATTTTTGCTGGTTCTGGCCTTGACTCCTAATTTTGATATACTCTGCTTTGAACTGACAAATCCATGGTCTGATTTGATTAATGTAACAGTAATGTTTAATATCAGCAGTGTGAAGTTGGAGTCTGCAGCGGGTCAAACTGAATTCAGAACAGATTTAAATCAAGTCCCAGTTTTATCTTCAAGACCCTCAACACCAAAAGGTGCTTACTGTCAAATAAAAACTTTTGTGTCCAGTTGGAAAACTCTAGAAATGTTCATATTAATAGATTGTTGAATTCTGAATGAGGTAGAAAGAATAGAAGCATTGTAATGTGGACATTTGACTTTTTCCTTTAAATAAAATATAAACCTCTTTTACCTTGTTGTTCAACTCTGCTTGAAGTTTCTTCTTTGCATCCTCACTCTTCTGCTTCTCCTCAGTGAGCTTCTCCCCCAGAGAGGAGAGGGAAGATAAGGACAGAAGATAAACATACTATATCATAGATAAACATCACATAGTGGGGGGGCAGTAGCTCAGTGTGTAGGGACTTGGGAACCGGTTCAAGTCCCACAGACCACAGTATGGAGTATGGACTGGTAGCTGGAGAGGTGCCAGTTTCACCTGCTGTGCACTGCCGAGGTGCCCTTGAGCAAGGCAACCTAACCCCAAGAAACGGCTCATGGGGAGCTGCTAATGTGGCAGCTCATCACTCCACCATCTCTCTCCCTGTTTGTATGTCCACAAGCCCTGCATGTGCATGAGTGTGCATTTCAGCCTGTGTGTGTACACAATAAAATAAAAAGAGTGAAAAGAAACATTTCTCCATTAGGGGATTAATGAAATATAAAATGTATTAATTAATAACAGGAAGGTACTCCATGATCTGACCTGTACAGCTCTGCTGTCTGCTGTTTGATGCTGAGCAGGTAGTGCACAGTGGATTTTTACAGTTTGTTCTCTTGAAACAGCTTCCTGCCTCTGACAGTAACAGTATGAGAGCAGTGACAGTGAACCAACACTGTGAAGCTGTGTGTGGACAGATAAACAATGAGCTGAAACTCACTATAAAGCTCTGTAAAGCTGAGAGGAGCTGCACATTCAGCTCATAATGCTCTGTAGCTTCATCACTACCAGAAGCACCCTTTTCATATGATCCTCATGTTGGCATTTGATACAGTGTTATTATACAAAGATCACCTTTAGCAGCTTTAAATCATCATATCTTTTAATGTGTGTTTGTGGTCAGTGTGAGGCTTTGGTAAAACAAGGTAATAGTGGGTAATACCATGGCAGTTACAGAGGAAATAATGCAGTAATATTTAATAATAATAGTAGTGCTGGTATTGGAATTGATAATAATGGGTAAAACCAGCTCAAGGTAATGATGGGATAACAACAGGCTCATGTGCACATAATAAAGTGCTTAGAGAATATCTGTAAGACTGCATAAAGACCAATGTTAGCACTCTATCTTTCTGGAGCTGAGATGAGAAACATGTTCTTTCATTAAGACGAGTAAGGGAACATGACAACAGGGACAGACAAACAACCCATTGATGTTCACTATATCAGAAACAGGTAAGGGAACATGACAGAAACAATGGAGTTAGAAAGCTGTAAATAAATCTTTTGCAATATTTTTTTCTCTTTCCCAATAAACAGTTGAATATCTTTTTTTAATCTTTTTTTTACATTGGTCCTTATCTTAGATACAAGATGTAATGCTGTTTCTGGCTTTGTCTCTTGGTTTTGATGTAATCGGACTTTAAACCTGCTCCTGATATTTGTCATTGTATAAGTTCTAATAAACACAGAATGCAGCAGTGAAAGTGGGAAGGAAAAGAAAAGTGCAGCTGTGAGACATTTAAGTTAGTAATGATCAGATGAACCTCTTTGTTCTTGGACTCCAGCTCATTCTTTGTGGTCTCCAGCTGATTGTACAGGGTCTCCTTCAGGAGCTGATTCTTCAGGGTCTCCACGTCCTTCTGCCTGTCCTGTTTCTCCTGCTGGAGCTGTTTGTGGGTTTCAGCCTGTTTTCCCTCCAACTGGGAGTGCAGAGAGACATGGAGACAGACTGTGAGATCCAACACATTCAGTCCTAAAGTAAAAAGGCTACTCTACTTAAATTCATGAACCCAATTCAAAATCTTAAAATACTTTGACTCTTTGTGTGGTTGATGTATGTATGTAAATAAAGCAGTAATTATGAGTTTTAAAACTAAAAACAAACAAATAGGTGGCTGTAAACAAAAATCAACATATACATGTCAGCTGATTTGTCCTCCAGCTAAAAGACCGACAGACAGACAGACAGACAGACAGATGTTAATCAGCAGGAAGTGACAGCCTGACACAGAACCTGAGAATATCTGGACTGTTGAACATTAACGTTTCCTCTCAGATTATGTATCATAATCAGACAGACACACAATAAATATAGATTCAGCTGGTAGTTTTCTTTGTAATGTGAGATTATTGAACACTAATGTTCTGTGTGAGTCCCTGCAGACTCTGGAACAGCTCAAATAAACACACTTAGCATTGTTTCATCATCACACTTCATGACTTTATGTTTCAGTAGTCTGCTCCTGAACATGAAATCACTTCTGCTGTAAAACCTGGTTGATGGATTTCCATCTGCTTTATATCTGTGATGATGATGATGATGATGATGATGATGATGAAGATGATGGTGAGAGAACTTTTATACAGCTCTGCTCTCCTTCATCCCAAATCAATCTATGTGAGTTTCTCTTGTCTCTCTTTTATAACAGTTAGTTGAACTGACCTCAAACATCAGTCACAGCACTGTGTAGGATATCATACATTGTCTGTGATGTGTCTGTCAGGATATATTTCTTATTTGCTTTAAATAAAACTGCTTCGTGCTCATTTCTGTATTTGTTCACCAGTTCAGTTTGTTGGAAACAGAATGGTTGGGAAGATACAAAGAGAATCAACACCACATTCATGTACTGTGTATGAAAAGGAAACAAGACAACAGTGACAGTCAAACAGGTCTGTCAGGTTACAAATATATGTACAGTATCTCAGCAGGGATCATGACAACAAAGGAGAGTTTGATATTTAAAAGTCACAATGCTATATTTTTGATAGAGATCAATCTGAAGGAGAACTTAAAGGAAAGAAACCTTCTGTGGAAAATACAAATACCAACCTCTGTGGTCTTATTCTGCAGCTTCTCTTCAGCTTCCTTCCTCCTCTGCTTCTCATCCTGGAACCTCTGGCTGGTAACCAACGGCCACTTAATATGAAAGAGAGAAAGGAGACTGAGATTAGAGACAAAAAAAAAAAAAAAGCTAATCCTAGAAAATATTTTCATTAATGCTAGCACATTTCCAACATGTCATATTTGTGTTTATTATTTTATTTACTGTTTTTTATGTTAATATGTTCTATCCTTCCTGCTCTGATGAAACTTTTCTTTTCCTGACTTTTCCTGGTTTAATCCCTGAAAGCAAAGTCCTGTTTCTTTACTTACATGTGAGTTCTTCTTTTTCTCTTTACCCTCATTCACCTCCATTTGCACCGTTTCATGTGACGTGAGTGTCTCTCTCTCTCTTTCTTCAGTGACACACTGATCTTCACTTTTGTTACTTTTAGACTGTCTTTTCCTTGTTCCTGCATCAGTTTGATTCCTGTGCTTTCTCTTGGTCTCTGTGGAAAAATAAGGTTCAATATTAAAGTCTAAATTACATTATTCATTCATCTTCCTGGCGCGTGCGCGAAAAGCTGCATGCAAACCACATTTGTAGGTCTATAACCTGTGAAATACCAATCAGTTCTTATCCCAGGTGATCAAATACCCTCTACATCTCATACAGATAGACATGGTACCCTTTAACATCTGTGTGAGACATTTTTAACACATGGTTAACGTTGTGAAACAGTCACTGTTTGGTTGTCAAGCAACAAAAGGAAAAGGTCATGGTTTGCATTAAAATAACTGTGTTACTTTACGTTAATCATGTGACATAAGTGACTCTACAAGTCACGTGAACTATATGTAACGTATGTAACTGAAAACCTAAAATGACATGAGATACAATCAACATTGAGTTCTGGTCTTACAGAGGACAGGACCCCCAGTCTCCTGGGTTAGTTTGACCCATCCATCCACCCCACCACCTTCATATGTGGACTTTCTTGCTCTTTATACGACGTCACCAGACACAGATGGGTTTCTGTTGTGCGTCTCATACAGATGTTAAAGCAGGGGCCTTAAAAATACCGGCTCTGGGGCCATTTCCAACCCGTCACATGTTATTAAACATATCCTGCAAGATTATTATTATTATTTACTATTTGGTTGAACTAACAACTCCAACAGTGGCCGGAAGGTTATTTGAGTTTCACAGCCCTGTGTTAAAGGTACCTTGTTAGTCTGTATGAGACACAGAGGGAGTGTGACAAAGCATCTGACTACCTGGAGACAATAACAGGCTGAAAATACTGGTACTTTGATCAAAGTGAACATTTCATTCACACAGTGACATAATTCCTATCATTATTCTCTTTAAAATAACTTTAACATTGTAACTTACTGTTTATGTTGTGTTTCCACACAAAGTAGACAAGTAACAATATAATCAGGATGCAAACAGCCAAAGTAACAGCCAAACCAACTGTGGCAGAAGAAGAGCTGGACTCAACCTCAAAAAAATCATCTGAAAAGATAAAACACAAAAGAACATGGTAATTATAGAAAAGTACAGTTGACCTCAGCTATTTAAAACAATACCAGTGATCCCTTCATAAAAAAATATATATAAATAAATGTTAACCAGAAATATGGATGTGTGTCTCTCTGATCTGGTTGGTCTTCTTCTGTTGGACTCTACAGGTGAAGTTGTTGCTGTGTCTCTTCTCCACAGTCACTCTGCTGCTGACAGTATAGAGGTCATCAGGACCTCTGTCTGTCTCTGTAGGTCCAGCAGAGAGGAGGTTTCCCCTCACCGTCCAGCCAGACCACCTCAGGCTCTGGATACCAGCTGTTAGAGTCACAGTTTAGGATCACTGCTCCTCTCTTTCTGTCGATCCCCAATAAACTGATGACAGGTGAGGAGGCAGTGTGTGATGCTGAGCAAACAGAAAGGTTTAACAGAGTGGTGTCAGTGAAAAGGAAAATAGTGATACTAACAATAATACCATACCACAGTTTTATTCCCCAAATCATTGAAATTAAGAAAATAACTTTCAAAGTTTCAAAATCTGGTGCACCATGTGAAAAGGCTAAATCTTTGCTGCAGCGGCCATGGGTTTGACTCCGACTGATGGCCCTTTGCTGTGTATCATCTTCTCTGCCTCTCCCCCCTTTCCTCCTACTCTTCAGCCATCACTATCGATTAAAGGCAATAAAAGCTGTCCCCCCAAACAAACAACAATAAAAGCTTCCTCACTGCCCGCCTATCAGCATGAAACAATTAAATCTGACCTCCTGCAAGTTTTATGCCCCGTATATGAAATGCAACAAAAGTGGCATTCTCTCATCTCAGAAACATTATGTTGGCCAAGGTATGGCCAATGCAGTTTTAACTCACCTTCTTATTAAAAAGTCCATTGAGACTCCAGCAATGTTCAGTTAGTTGCAATCTGAAACTTCACCACTAGATGCCACTAAATCCTACACACTGGACCTTTAAATGTATTTTTTATAAGTTGTGAGTTCTCACTCAAACTGTTGACTGGATGCAAAGCCTACACCAAACCGCACTATGAACACTCACTGTGTTTGTACTTACCAACAACAAGCCTCACAGAAGATTGTTTTTGAAGCAGTGGAAGGTCGCATTCATATGTTCCCTGATCAGAGCGTTGTACTTTGGAGAGTTTCAGTGAAATGTTTCCGTGCTTCAGTTCATTGATGAACAGTGATGTTCTTCCTTTGTAGGATGGATTTCTTTCTTTTATGAGATCCTGACCAGCACGCCACACATGGATGAATATATGTTTCAGGTCAGATCTCTTCCACTCCACTGTCTCTGCAGTAACATCCACCGCAGGTTGCAGGTGACATGGCAAAATGATGTCATCCCCAACTCCTGCCAGTATTGACTGAAGTGGACCAATTAACCGAGACTGACCTGGAACATATTAGATCTGTTCATTAATTCCTGTGGTAAGAAGTGGCTACAATGCACTGTTGGAATAATACACAGCATTTGTCTTAAAGTAAATTACCAGTCATAGCAGCATTATTTTCCATTGATAGAAAAGTGGAAGGTGAAGATAGTTCAAATGTTTACACTGAATATATTTGATTAACATAGCAGAAGATACCTTATTAACATACGTAACACGTAATTGAATTTGATCTAAAACCCGAAATATGAAGAGCATTTGTGTTTTACTTACCTTTACAAGAGTGTGTTAGGAGAAGATGTAAAACCAAAACACTGAGGGGCCAGAGTGGAGACTGAAGTGTGAGTCGGTCTGTCTGGTGAAGCCTCCTGCAGCCCTGAAAATGGAGCAGTTATATGATGTTTTAAAAAATGCTTTTGAATCGTTTCTTGTAGGTGAAATGAATGATGTAATTGAGGCCTCACACAGGCTGATATATTATTTAGAACCTACTGTGGGACAAATCCCAGATACAGTCAAAATGTAAAATACATCAAGTGCTTCTTCTAAATCAAAGGTTCTGTTATCTCCTCTATTTTGTCATTTGTTTTACCTGGCTGATTTAAAAATAACATTTAATAACAAGTACAATTCAAAAACAGATTGTACATATAAGCATACCTATGCATGGTGCAATAAAAACTTTGTTATACTTGTTATAACTGTTTGCATCAACATTTCCAATGACAGAGACCACATGCAGACCTACTTTTGTTCTAGAAGATGATATTGTCTTTTAAAATAGAAGTTGAAACATGTAAAATCGGCAAAAACAAATGAATAAGACGACGTACCTGCATGATGTGTCGGCCGTTTAATCAGACTGCACGGCAAGTCTGTAAATCATTGATTGTGACCTTATCTCACTTTATTCTATCCAGTGCAGGTTGCTGCATATTATTTTATTTAATCCAGCAGAAACAAATCAAAAATGAAATTTCAGATTTACTGAAGGGCATTGTCGAAGTACCAAACGTGTTATAATCAATCTATCACTTAAGGTTAAACACAATATGGGGCTCCTGTCTGGGTTCAAGAACTAAGATCACTTTCACTTTGATTGTCTTTGTTAACAGTTGAACTTTGAGCCTGTTGCTAGGTAACTGGTCACTAGTATAACATATTACAGCTGCAATTAAAGTATCAGGAGCAATAACAATGATTTTCTAATGTCTTACCAACTTGAGAAAAGGTAAGTGTTCATGAGGTAGTTGTTAGGGCCGTTATCTTACTGCAGGGGGCAGAACAGGACTTCAGATTCACACTGACTGACTTCTTTCTCGGGTCCATGCTGTTCATACGGATGCTGATTGAAGCCCAGCAGCATCTACATACATCAGATCATCTGTTCATACTGACTGTAGCTCTTCAAAAAATATTTCTGCCTGCAAAACAAAATATCCATTTGTCTTTCAGCTGTCGGGGTACAGCACAGCAGGTCTGTTCAGTTGTCTAGAGGTACAGTGAAACCCTATCTGGTGGCACAAGAACACAACAGCTGCGTTGATGTTAGCCCCTCGGCTTAATTGTCCCCCTTGCAACCAGGACAATGGGCACAAGGTTTACACATTGCATCTGATATGTTTGCACAATCGTGCTACGAGTTATGTTGCATTATTGTAGTCTCTCCTCCTGGGAAACAGGAAACTACTAGTAGGAGCTTTAGGTTTGAGTCTCAGTCATCAAGGTCGTGCTATATCTATAAATATAAGTCCAGGGCTGATCGCAGTTCTTAGTCAGCTTCTTAACTTGTAAGCAAAGGGGTGTACCACAGAGCTGTATGTTGAAGCCACATGAGTTTGGCCTCAGCTTTTCAACATCAGAAAACCAAACAGGAAGAGGAAGCTTTCATCTGCATTCTACTTCAGCTAAACTTCAGTCTGATGCTCAGTCAGCACCGAGACAACATGGTGGTTGCAGCTTTCTGCTTCAGACTGTGTGAGTACTGCATCTCAGGTCTCTTCTTTTCAAGTGTGACATGTTCTTGTATGAATATGTACAGTAAATGAGTCTAAGGTTGATGTATAGTTTGTTTCCTTTGTCTATACAGTCATGCTTGGATTCATTCTGCTGGGTGCACATGTTGAGAACAGAGGTAAGTAGGACTCAGCTAAAGATAAGACAGATATTTTATGTTTGTATATTGGTAATATCCTTTAAACTTCTAAAGGATGGTGTCATTAAAGTTGTTACATTTTTGTGCAGTAATGATCCAGAATTTGAATTGTCATGACATACATTTCAAATGTACGTCAGACTGCACTAATTAAATTGTCACAATGTGCTGATGTCTTGATTTTGTGCTTTAAAAGAGATTTTTCCAGCAGTTTAATTTGTTTTTAACTCACTCTGTCTTTCTGTCTCAGATGCAGCTTTTCGTATTGTTCCAAACAGACTGCAGGCCTTTCAATACGAGTCCGTCTCCTTTCACTGTGAGGGTCTCGATGGCTCCACTCAGTGGAGAGGGATCAGGAACACTGTGGAGTTCATTTCAGCATGCGGTGAGGGGACTCCAGTACTTTCTTGCACCATTCACAGAGCCTATCCATCAGACAGTGGAGAGTACTGGTGTGAGACTGAAGGAGGAGAGAGAAGCAACAGCGCCTACATCACCATTACTGGTATGTTAAATTAAGTTTCTATAAAAGGTCACTGCTTGAAGTCCATGAGGTTATGGCCTCAAATGTAAAAATAAATACCTTGAGAGAACTAAAAAAACAGATTAAAATCAACCTTGCCAGCTTACTCCCAGAAATTAGACATATTGTAGTATTTCACCAAATCCATAGGTTTAGTGTTGCCAGAGCAACGCTTTGCCACTTTTAATGCCAAGGGAGGAAATAGAATATTTGCTGTTCTCATAAACTGGTTGAAATTCAAACACATTTTTCCTTGCAGATCCAATCCTCAATAAAGCTTATGTCTTGACATTTAAGGTGTGTTAATTGATTCACAACATTAACTTATGCAGGAAAAACATTCCACCTTAAAAGTTGCTGGTAGCCTTTGAGTGGAAGAATGAATTAAACACTTCTTCTCCAGTCTCTGTGCTACTTAAAGAGCACTAAAGGTCTTTGTTTTTCAGGGGGGTCAGTGATCCTGGAGAGTCCAGTCCTTTCTGTAAGAAAAGGTTACAATGTGACTCTGAGCTGCAGAAACAAGACGACTTCCTCCAACCTCACAGCTGGTTTCTATAAAGATGGCCTCCTCATGGGCAGCAGCTCTACAGGAGAGATGATCATCCACAGTGTTTCCAAGTCTGATGAAGGACTCTACAAGTGTAAGATCTCTGGAGCTGGAGAATCAGCAGAGAGCTGGTTGGCTGTCAGAGGTGAAACATTGCAATGTTTAAGATTAAAATAGATACAATTGTTTTTATGACTATTCTTTAAAAAATATTAATTGAAACGTATGAGTTTATGTTACAGAAATAAAATAAAGTCAATGTTGGGAGAGCTAAAACAATGGATAACACTGATATCAATCGTTCCATCTAACTCCCACAAATTGAGCAAACCAGGGTCTTTCATCAATGTTCAGAATGAAGTTATACAGCCTTTGTTTTCCAGCTGGTTCTGTGATCCTGGAGAGTCCAGTCCTCCCTGTGAAAGAGGGTAACAATGTGACTCTGAGCTGCAGAAAGAAAATAACTGTCTCCAACCTCACAGCTGATTTCTATAAAGATGGCCTCCTCATGGGCAGCAGCTCTACAGGAGAGATGATCATCCACAGTGTTTCCAAGTCTGATGAAGGACTCTACAAGTGTAAGATCTCTGGAGCTGGAGAATCAGCAGAGAGCTGGTTGGCTGTCAGAGGTGAGACATTGCACTGTTTATCTTCTAATGGTTCTATAAAAAGCAGAACAGCAACCTGATAGATGTTCAGTATGTACCAGAGTAATGCTACAGCAGCCCTTAGAGACAACCTGTGACACACTGTTAATACTGCCATGCTGTTACAGCACATATATCCTCTTGTCTTTGCAGCTCTTCACACAGAGACTTGTCCCTCCTCAGATCACTCCTGTAATGTTCTCCTCCTCTTAAGGACTGTGTTCACCATTGTGATGGTGGCTCTGCTGCTGCTGCTGGTGGGACTACTTCACTGTGGGAAACTCACAGTTACACAGAAAACTCATGCTCATATATAAAGTATATATATATAACTAATACAGAGTATATTTGTCACTCTCACACCCACAGAGGTACTGACTGATGTATGAAGTATTTATAAAAGGCGAGCTGATGGTTTATGTTGTTCTGTGTTTTGTTTTAGACTGATGATGCTGGTGATAATTTGAGCTTCTCAGACACAAACCACATGAGAAAACGTGTGTATGTAGAAGAGGCATTCAGGAGCCTCGGTAGAAACAGTAAAACGTTAGTGGTTTGATAGAGCTGAGTAGGTGAACTGTGTCTCGAGTAGGCCTCATATATATTCATCAATGTAACCACAGAATATGAAGTAATAATAAAAATATATTCACATTAAACCGTCTGCTGTGTTACTGCAGCACCTGACTTTAGTTCAGTCTGTCCCAAAATAGCAAATAGCAAACAGATGATAACATAATAAGAATACATGTGAATGGTGAACATATCATTACACAAAAGAGCACCTTGAGAATGCTAACATGCTCATGGTGCTCTTTTTGCTCAGGAAGGTTCCTGACTGAGTGAAAGGACCTGGAAGGATTTCAGTGGCAGCCATGATCAGAGAACATTCTCTAAATGCTGAGGAAAGATGCGTCGATACTTCCTTTCTTATCTCTATAGCATCGGATACACTGGACCATCTTTTTAGCTACAAAAGGAGATAATGCCATCCCACAATTCCTTGCAGCAGCAACATTTAAAAAGCTGCCTGGTTTACGAATACAAACAATCAAAGGACGCACATCAACTTCTAAGTGACAGTCCCATTTTCATCCTATGCCACAATTTGCTAATATGTTAATATGTTCTGAACTTTTAACAACATGTTACAGCCATTACTGAACGCTACTGTTGCACAATCAGTTGGTTATGGAGTTGTCAGCCTGTGTGAAGCACTTTGTAATGTGTAGAAACATTCTGATATTAAAATGATCAAAGTGAAGTTCATTCAGTCAGTGCATAATGTAGTGTTGGTCTTCCTCATATTGGCCTTTGTTGTATTGCCAGTCTTTAAGACTATCATTTAAATATTTGAATTGATCTTCAGTCACAGATTCTGAAACTTAATAACTTAATAATGATCAGATTCACAATGACTTTTATTGCCAAATAGGTTTTCACATAAGGGAACTTTCCTTTGTATATTGGTGTATAACAATAAACACAGGACAATGGATGTACATGTAGAGCACGTCAAGAAGCATAATGAGAGGAATAGAAAATAACAATAATATACAGAAACATATTATAAAGACAATAAAAGACAGCATGTAAAATATGGTTGCTATTTCAAATGGAAGATGTGTAAAATATCACAGTAATAATTATAAAGAATATTTGCAATGTGCAGAAGAAGATTCTGATATGTGCACATCATTATTCACATTTTTTAAATTAATTTAATTAATAGTTAAATCAGCACATTTTCAATGAAATTTCACTTCATCTGCAAAGAACATTAGCCCAGTATGTTAGAAACACTATAACCAATTTGAAAAGAACTGATTTTCAACAGAAGTTCTGCATTAGATTTAATTCAGTTTAGTAAAGTTACTTTTATTTATTATCAACAAAATAAAAATAAGGTCCATATATAAAAAGATAGATAGATAGATAGATAGATAGATAGATAGATAGATAGATAGATAGATAGATAGATAGATAGATAGATAGATAGAGAATTCTAAACCTACATTTTAAATTCAGTAACAAAATAATACAAAACATAGAAAGACAAAAAATATCTTCACTGTGAAGAAGATCCAAAAGACGACTGTTACAAATCTGCTGTTTACTGTTTGTACATTAGTGTTACATCTCAATGGACAAGAAACTTCACCATAAAATATTAATTAAAATAATAATTCCTGAGTTACGTAACATCTGATTTAGAGTCAGAGTTTAATTTATTTGAACCATTTTAATAGTTAAATTCTAATAATTCATAGAATTATATTTAGCTTTTTTCACCACATTTGAAACAGAAGATGTTTTGAATTGTTAAGAATAAAAATGTAATGTGTTATATTCAATATTCATAAAGAAAAGGGGTTCATTGTTTTTTTTACTGATTGTAAAGTCATGTGACCACATCTTTACGACTTTATTATGTTCACAGGAAGATCTGAGTCTGCTGTCTCTGATGTTTAACACTGCACTCTTTACTCTTCAGAATGCATGTTGGTGTAGGCTGGGCTATCATTATTATATTTCAGTGGCTATAAACTGAGAGATGTCGGATCTTTCCAGTGTCCCCGATGAGTGCCGCCTGCAGTCTGTCTCCAGAGCTCCAGGACAGGGCGAGTACAACGGGTACCATAATCCGAGTGTGACATCTGTGAAATGAAAAGGTCACACACTGACAAGCAGAATCATTCAACAGTTTAAGTTAAATATAGTCATAATGATAATAATAGTGTTGCTTTTGTTATTATTATTATTTTATCATATTTTCTTTTATCTCAATGAAACTCATCAACACTGCTGAATGGGATAAGTGGATGTGAGTAGGAAAACTAACAAACAAATGTTAGTGTGTTAAATCCATTGTGTGTGATTGAATGTCATTTCCCTCTTTACATGGAAACAAGAGAAATGGATCGTAGGGTAAATAACAGGTTATTCATTTGTTTGAATGGCTTATTTGAAATGTTATTGTTGTGCATATTGTACACACGTACACACTGTAGAACTCTAACAGTGTTCATCCACACACACACACATTACCTTAAGGTGTTTCTGAGAGGGATGTAATACCTTTACTAGTCAGCTTCATCCTGCTGAGAGGGAAACGACACACACAGATTAGTTATTCAGGATAAATCAACTAGCAAACAGACAGACAGACAGATGGATATTGATCTGTCAGCAGTTATTACTGTAGTTCATTCAGACAACTCATATTTGAAATGTTATTACAACAGTATAACTATTTAGATCTTGGCGTCCAGGCTCCGACCTCATCCCTCCCTGCAGATATGTTTACATAGAGATATTGGGGAGTGAAATACCGTAGACCCCTAGCTGGAGCCTACAGGTTGACATTGAACAAGTAAAAAACTCTCTTTGCTTCACTGTTTAGATTTACAGAGGAATTCTAATAGTTATTGTGACTCTATTTTATATGGAGAGGTGATGATAATGGTGGTGTCTCAGATATAGACTGTCTTGGTTTCAGATAAATATCAATAATTTTTGAAGAAGATTAAAAGAAGTGAGATGAAAACACTGCTCCATTAATTTACAGTGTTTTAGGATAGAAAATGGACCTTGGTCTCCTTCTTTAGGTTCTCCACTTTTTTCTCAGCTTCGTCCCTTTTCTTCTTCTCCTCCGTGAGCTTATTTTCCAATGGAAGGAAAAAAGAGGGATGAAGAGAGATTTAAAGTGCCCATAGTTTAGTCGGGTTCAACCTCTGTTTATACTGTGAATATATACTGTAAATATCAGCTGTAACAATCAGTGCACTACTCAACTGATGAATTCAACATGTAATTCTAAAATAAGAGCATTAAAGTAAAGAAGCAGAATGTCTCAAAGTCAGCAGTGTCAGCAGGGTTCAACAACAAAATCTAATCTTTATCATATTTATAGAATGAATACATTCACTGTTACACTGCTCTGTGTTTCTGTCAACCTGAGTCCACTTTCATATATAATATAATATGGTATATAATAACCACCAGAGTGAGTTAATCATTGCATTCACTGTATTTAAACTCTGATTTTGACATTGATACAATCACATGTCTGATTAAATATGAAATATGGACAACAGGAGGCACTGTGTTCTGTCTCCTCTTAGAACTGCACTCTTTCAGCAGCTCTGCTCTTCTTCATCCCAAATGAATCTGTTACAATTTCTCTTAATTGACCTAGACATAAGTGTAGTCACTGTGTATCTCTGTGATATCAAACTTATATGTGTTCTGGTTCTGGTTTTTTTTTCTTTTCTGTGAAATAAAACTGGTTTATGCTCCTTTCTGTATTTTGTCAACTTCATCAAGGTGCAGTTCAGTTTGTGGTAAAGAGAATGGTTACCACTAGAATACATGTGTTTGTATTTTGAGTTCAGAAGAAACAAAAAACATTTAAAATCAAATAAACAATAAGACATTACAGGAAGTTATTCCATAGTCTGATTTGTGTTTGAAAATGTTTCACAATATATAAACTATTAGCCAGCTGGAAATAAATCAATGTGTTGATGAAAAGATGGAGAAAGTATCAATGACAATGAAATAAACTGATAGTGGTTAAAGTAAATTATATTTACAGATCTACGAACCTCTGTGGTCTTATTATTAAGTTTCTCCTCAGCTTCCTTCCTCCTCTGCTGTTCTTCCTGGAGCTGAGTGGAGAAACATGTTCTTTCATTAAGACGAGTAAGGGAACATGACAACAGGGACAGACAAACAACCCATTGATGTTCACTAAATCAGAAACAGGTAAGGGAACATGACAGAAAAAATGGAGTTAGAAAGCTGTAAATAAATCTTTTGCAATATTTTTTTTCTCTTTCCCAATAAACAGTTGAGTATCTTTTTTTAATCTTTTTTTTTTACATTGGTCCTTATCTTAGATACAAGATGTAATGCTGTTTCCGGCTTTGCTCCTGCTCCTGATATTTGTCATTGTATAAGTTCTAATAAACAGAATGCAGCAGTGAAAGTGGGAAGGAAAAGAAAAATGCAGCTGTGAGACATTTAAGTTAGTAATGATCAGATGAAGCTCTTTGTTCAGGTTCTTCACTTGATCCTTCCTGTCCTGTTTCTCCTTCAGGAGCTGTTTGTGGGTTTCAGCCTGTTTTCCCTCCAACTGGGAGTGCAGAGAGACATGGAGACAGACTGTGAGATCCAACACATTCAATCCTAAAGTAAAAAGGCTACTCTACTTAAATTCATGAATCAAGAAGAGTTTTTTTAATTTAATCTTTCAACCTTAAAATACTTTGACTCTTTGTGTGGTTGATGTTGTTATACATTGAAATATTCTAAAGATAAAATACAGCAGTAATATGAGATTAAACACTAAAAACAAACAAACAGGTAGGTGTAAACAAAACTAGGGATGCTCGATATTGGCTTTTCTGCAGATATCCGATATTCCGATATTGTCCAACTCTCAATTTCCGATACCGATATATGCAGGCTTTTTACACCAAAACTGTTAATACCAACATAACATATCTCCTATTGTGGAATTAACACATTATGCCTCATTTTATTGTGATGCCCCACTGGTAGGGTGGCCATTTCCGTCACATCAAACAGGAGGACACTTTACATACACGGGGACACGCAAGCAGATATTTGTTTGGTATGATCCGGTTTTAAATTTGAATGTTTTTCCACCAGATTACATAAAGGTGCATACACATACCACATAGCTAATAATAAATATGAGTATGAGCATTTTCAGAATTTCAGTCCAACAACCGATGTTATGTTCTCTGTCACTGAGAGCTTGATTGACAGCCTGGTGGTAACAACTGGGAGTGAGCACACATGGCTCATTTGAATATTTAAATGAGCCATGTGTTGATAGATCACAACAAGATAATGTAACCAATGAAATTACTTATTTTGACACACATTTTTAGCCAATAAGTATTAAACTAACGAGGTAATGTGTCAAAAGGCAACCTTTTTAGTTATTTTCTCAACAGGAGGACAAATGAGTGTCCAGCTTAAAGCTGCACCTGCAGCCCAATATCATCCAACTGCAGCCACAAATGGGCGTTCTCGTGCTGGTGGGGGTCCCGTTTTCGCTGACTGGAACGCCCCCTTCTTCTTCGCCTTTCTTGCTGAACTGTAACTGTCAACATCCGGTTTAATATAACATTCGCTAGTTAGTGTTTCTCAACAGAAGTTTCAAAATAAGATCTAGTAGTCTGTAAATGTATTATAGAACTAACGTTAGCAAGCTAAGCCATCTACAGAACCTTAGTCCAATTACATCTTAATATGCTTACATTTACGTGTAGGACTAGTCCATATTTCTACCAGTTGTTGAGGACAATTCATACTTTGCAGTCGCGTGATTACCATGGTTACCTGGCGGGCAAGAAACATATCCGTAAAAAATGAAAGTCTACAAAAGTACAGATAGCTATCTTTCTTCAAGAGTGGATGGGTTAACAACGCTGTCGTATGGGAGGTGAAAATCAGCTAACGTTTGCGAATGTTTGTATGTTTGTAGCTCTACACAAAGTGACATCTGAAGTCTTCATCTGAATATGTACACCCTGCCTGCCGCCAATGACAGCTTGATAAGTAACGTTAGTTTAAAAAAAACCTTATGCCAACTAGACTGTATCATATATGGCTAACAGGATGTCAGACATTGTACCCTACCTGCTCATCCACTCCACATAGCATCAGACAACAGACAAGAGCAGCTGGGGCAGTGAAATGTCTTTAATCCTGTTAGTAATCTGTTAGGTTGTAACGTTAATGTAGTAGTAATAACTGTACCATAGTAACGTTATGTATGCAAAGTAACTGTAAGTAAGTAGACGCAGTACAACAGTAACATGTATTCTTCTTCTCATCAAATCAAATCACGTACATATGATATATATATATATACTTTGTATAGTAAAACTGACGACGTCCTGGTAAGATCCTTGATTAGTTTACTGGGTTCCGTTGCTGGAGAACGATGTTCTTGCCCGCCAGCTAGTAGCTGTGACGTCACGTGCAAAGTATGAATTGCGATTGGTCGATTAAACACTACCAGGAACACCCAAGCCGCAGCTGGACCCTTCTCCTGCAGCCGGACAGGGCGTTTAAAAGCCGGACAAGTGGCCACCCTACCCACTGGATGCATACATCAATGCAACATTTCCAAATGTAAACACTGTCTGTGCAAAATAAGAGAACAACTTCAACTTGCATTGTATCGCTAGATAAGCGCTAGCTTTGGTTAATGTGTTTTATTGTATTATTCACCTGAAGGAGTGCTAATGTAAATTCTAAGCCAATTGTTAGTTTGGTTAAGTAACAGCTCATAGCAGTGTCAAATATTTAAGGTGCATTGCACTTATTTTGTGTTAATATTAAAATAATTCAGCTTTAAATTGTTTGCTTGTTAGCCACAGTTAGCAACCAACCAGTCTAGTTGTTGTTGTTGTTGTTGTTGTTGTTGTTGTTGTTATATGTCAAACCCGATACCAATAATTCCCGATATTACATTTTTTAGTGAATATCGGGAATTAACTAAATATCAATAAAAGATGAACCTGTGTTATCTTGGTGTTCAGCTCATCCTCCATCCTCTGCTTCTCTCCACGGAGCTGCTGCAGCTCAGATTCTTTGAGTTTGACCTGGAAGGACAGAGAGAAGGTCCAGAGAGACAATGAGGGACATGTTCACTAATTAACATTTAAAACTTTATACTACAAACTGACAAAAACATGTCAGACAAACAACCCATTGATGTTCATTATATCAGAAACAGGTAAGGGGACATGACAGAAACAATGGAGTTAGAAAGCTGTAAATAAATCTTTAAATATTAATTAATTAAATACATATTTTTTTTCTCTTTCCAAATAAACAGATCTTTTTTTATCTTTCTTTTTACATTGGTCCTTATCTTAGATACAAGATGTCATGCTGTTTCTGGCTTTGTCTCTTGGTTTTGATGTAATCGGACTTTAAACCTGCTGCTGATATTTGTCATTGTATATCTCTCTATAAAAGCAAGAAATCTGTCTGTCTGTCTGTCTGTCTCTCTGTCTGTCTGTCTGTGTGTGCCTCAAATATCTCTGCAGATCAGGATCAGACTGACCTGAGAGTTTCAACATGGCTGCTGTGTGGTTTAAGGGTGTGCAACGTCGACTTTGTTTGGACTACAAAGATACCGTTAATAAATTATTTCATAAATGATTTACGAATTCCGCTAGCATTGTCAACCATAGCCACCATAACCACGTGCACACCAGAGCCAATCACTGCAGAGCCAATCCCTGCAGAGCCAATCCCTGCAGAGCCAATCCCTGCAGAGCCCACCCCCATGACACACCTCAGGAAACACGCTGATCTATACCTGCAGCGGCGCGAGCGGCTTTATACCTGCAGCGGGTTTTGCCGGCTGTTCGGTCCCGTTCTGTGCATCTAAACTGACTGTTGAGGATTACTGAGACTGAACGAGTCCGGACCGAGTCTGTTCCGGTCTGAGGAGATCCGCATACGCGAGGACAATAAACTGGAATCGAAATCTGTGGATGTTCATCTGTAGCTAGCTGCTCCATGAAAAAGCTACTTAACCTCCCACTTTTATATAGCAATACATACTTCCTACGGGCACTGCACTAGTGTTCTAATAAACACAGAATGCAGCAGTGAAAGTGGGAAGGAAAAGAAAAGTGCAGCTGTGAGACATTTAAGTTAGTAATGATCAGATGAACCTCTTTGTTCTTGGACTCCAGCTGATTGTTCAGGTTCTTCACTTGATCCTTCCTGTCCTGTTTCTCCTTCAGGAGCTGATTGTTCAGGTTCTCCACGTCCTTCTGTCTGTCCTGTTTCTCCTTCAGGAGCTGATTGTTCAGGTTCTCCACGTCCTTCTGTCTGTCCTGTTTCTCCTTCAGGAGCTGATTGTTCAGGTTCTCCACGTCCTTCTGCCTGTCCTGTTTCTCCTTCAGGAGCTGTTTGTGGGTTTCAGCCTGTTTTCCCTCCAACTGGGAGTGCAGAGAGACATGGAGACAGACTGTGAGATCCAACACATTCATTCCTAAAGTAAAAAGGCTACTCTACTTAAATTCATGAACCCAATTCAAAATCTTAAAATACTTTGACTCTTTGTGTGGTTGATGTATGTATGTAAATAAAGCAGTGATTATGAGTTTTAAAACTAAAAACAAACAAATAGGTGGGTGTGTTTAGCTGCTAAATGCTCCACTGTGTTCACCAGCTAGTCTCTGACTGTGTCTGTGTGCTGCTAATAAAGCTAATGTACAGTGGGTTCTTGTAATCGGACTTTAAAGCTGCTCCTGATATTTGTCATTGTATAAGTTCTAATAAACAGAATGCAGCAGTGAAAGTGGGAAGGAAAAGAAAAGTGCAGCTGTGAGACATTTAAGTTAGTAATGATCAGATGAACCTCTTTGTTCTTGGACTCCAGCTGAGTTTTTGTGGTGTCCAGTTCTTTTTTCAGGGTCTGCTCTCTTTTCTCAGCATCCTCCCTCGTCTTTCTCTCCTCCTCGAGCTGTCGAGACAGGAGAGAGATGAAGTGAGATATGAGTGAAATAACCACACAGTGACAGAAAGAAACATTTATCCTGACTCAAGTCTGACTTTTGCAGTGCAATGGAGAAGATGCAGTTATTAATGTAACAGTAATGTTTAATATCAGCAGTGTGAAGTTGGAGTCTGCAGTCAAACTGAATTCCAAGTCCATTCATTCCTGATTATGGACACCTTGAAGGACATTATCCCTCTTATACCATGGTCACTTGCCAAAGAAAATAAATTAAGACCATTCATTTATATTTTCATGCGTTTTACAATCAAAATATAAAGTTTTTCACAAGCCATAATTTAGTTTCCCTGGTAACGCCTGAGGGTTTGACTAACACCTGGAACAATCATTATCCTCCTGCAACGGAAACGTTGTTCACTCCTCCAGTAAATAGGACGGACCTTAGATACGACTTGGCAACGGGAGATAAGCAGCGAGTTGAACAGCGAGCGGGATGTGAGTTGATCTCTTATGTGATACAAAGGATCAGTAAGTTCAGAGGGGAAGTGTTCTTCTTGCAGCTTGAGTGTTACAGTTAAAAGAAATGTTGAAGTCACTCATTGTTGTTAGTTTGTTAAGGTGTTGCAATAAATTGGAAACAGAGGCTTTGACTGCGTTCCCGTTGCTATGGTTACTCATTTTAGAGACAGGCGGATACACCAGCAAGCGCATTCATTTAGAACGGTGAACAGACAATTTGACTGGAACTACTTAGTAGGTGTCCATATATCGGGGATTAATGGACACCCTGCAGCCAATCAGAATCGAGTATTCCCCCAGACCATTGTATAAGTTCTAATAAACACAGAATGCAGCAGTGAAAGTGGGAAGGAATAGAAAAGTGCAGCTGTGAGACATTTAAGTTAGTAATGATCAGATGAACCTCTCTCTTCTTGGACTCCAGCTCATTCTTTGTGGTGCCTTTCAGGGTCTTCTCTCTTTCCTCAGCTTCCCTCCTCTCCTCCTGGAGCTGTCGGAGAGAGATGAAGTGAGATATGAGTGAAATAACCACACAGTGACAGAAAGAAACATTTATCCTGACTCAAGTCTGACTTTTGCAGTGCAATGGAGAAGATGCAGTTATTAATGTAACAGTAATGTTTAATATCAGCAGTGTGAAGTTGGAGTCTGCAGCGGGTCAAACTGAATTCAGAACAGACTTAAATCAAGTCCCAGTTTTTTCTTCAAGACCCTCAACACCAAAAGGTGCTTACTGTCAAATAAAAACTTTAGAGAATCTTGTGTCCGACAGGAAAACTCTAGAAATGTTCATATTAATAGATTGTTGAATTCTGAATGAATTTATTTATTATATTTATATTTATTTTACAACATTTTGTCTTTTTTAATGTTTTCAGTTTATTCTCTCTCTGCCAATAAACAACAGTTTAATATCTTCACTCTTTGTCTTTTGGTCCTGATCTGAAACACAAGATGTCATGCTGGTTTTTGGTTTTAACTCCTGCTGTTGACAAACAACAACAGGTGTAAACAAAAGTCAATATCAATGAAAGATGACAGTATGAGAGTCCAAGTAAACAATAACACATTACAGGAAGTTACTCCATGCTCTGATTTCACAATATATAAACTATTAGCTAGCTGGAAATAAATCAATGTGTTGATGAAAAGATGGAGAAAAGTGCTTTTTCAATTCAAAATCTTAAAATACAGACACACAATAAATATAGATTCAGCTGGTAGTTTTCTTTGTAATGTGAGATTATTGAACACTAATGTTCTGTGTGAGTCCCTGCAGACTCTGGAACAGCTCAAATAAACACACTTAGCATTGTTTCATCATCACACTTCATGACTTTTATGTTTCAGTAGTCTGCTCCTGAACATGAAATCACTTCTGCTGTAAAACCTGGTTGATGGATTTCCATCTGCTTTCTATCTGTGATGATGATGATGATGATGATGATACAGCTCTGCTCTCCTTCATCCCAAATCAATCTATGTGAGTTTCTCTTGTCTCTCTTTTATAACAGTTAGTTGAACTGACCTCAAACATCAGTCACAGCACTGTGTAGGATATCATACATTGTCTGTGATGTGTCTGTCAGGATATATTTCTTATTTGCTTTAAATAAAACTGCTTCGTGCTCATTTCTGTATTTGTTCACCAGTTCAGTTTGTTGGAAACAGAATGGTTGGGAAGATACAAAGAGAATCAACACCACATTCATGTACTGTATATGAAAAGGAAACAAGACAACAGTGACAGCCAAACAGGTCTGTCAGGTTACAAATATATGTACAGTATCTCAGCAGGGAGCATGACAACAAAGGAGAGCTTGATATTTAAAAGTCACAATGCTATATTTTTGATAGAGATCAATCTGAAGGAGAACTTAAAGGAAAGAAACCTTCTGTGGAAAATACAAATACCAACCTCTTTGGTCTTATTCTGCAGTTTCTCCTCAGCTTCCTTCCTCCTCTGCTTCTCATCCTGGAACCTCTGGCTGGAAACCAACGGCCACTTAATATGAAAGAGAGAAAGGAGACTGAGATTAGAGACAAAAAAAACTAATCCTAGAAAATATTTTTCATTAATGCTAGTACATTTCCAACATGTCATATTTGTGTTCATTATTTTATTTATTGTTTTTTATGTTAATATGTTCTATCCTTCCTGCTCTGATGAAACTTTACTTTTCCTGACTTTTCCTAGTTTAATCCCTGAAAGCAAAGTCCTGTTACTTTACTTACATGTGAGTTCTTCTTTTTCTCTTTTCCCTCATTCACCTCCATTTGTACTGTTTCATGTGACGTGAGTGTCTCTCTCTCTTTTTCTTCAGTGACACACTGATCTTCACTTTTGTTACTTTTAGACTGTCTTTTCCTTGTTCCTGCATCAGTTTGATCCCTGTGCTTTCTCTTGGTCTCTGTGGAAAAATAAGGTTCAATATTAAAGTCTAAAAGACATTTATTTATTCATTTACCTCACTGCCGGTCAGTACAGTGGACAGAACAGCTGATCTAATGCCGGTAGGTACAGTGGACAGAACAGCTGATCTAATGCCGGTACAGTGGACAGAACAGCTGATCTAATGCCGGTACAGTGGACAGAACAGCTGATGTAATGCGGGTCGGTACGGTGGACAGAACAGCTGATCTAATGCCGGTCGGTATGGTGGACAGAACAGCTGATCTACCAGCTGAACTCTGGAGGAAACACACCGGGGATGAAGAGGAGGGAAGGATGAAGACGGGACGGGTTTATGGAGAAGGAGAAGATTGAAGCCGAGTCTCCCCTCTGTTGTTATGGTGGATGTGCGGTCTCCTAGCAACGGAATGAACGAGCTGACGGCATTGACGCGGAGCCCCGCAGAGTACCGGGATTGTACCGAGAGTGAACAGCTCTGTGGCCCGGATGTTGAACTGCTGTCGTTGGACTCCATCCATCTACCGAGAGAGATCCTGCACGTCATCATCATCTTCATCCCTCCCTCTGTAAACCCAACATCCTGCTGCTGAAGAGGAGGCCTGCGACCACTTTATATATATTCTTAATATATGTATGTCTATCTCATATGGAGTATGTAACGAAAGTAATTTCCCCCTGGGATTATTAAAGTATGTCTGATTCTGATTCTGATTTCACTGAAGTATCAAAGCTCATGAGACATTTCAGACTAAAATCAGGTATAAAATGGGTTATAAAGATAAAACATCTGACAATTTCACTGATTGGAAATAAAAGTAGACAAAGAACCACATTTGTAGGTCTATAACCTGTGATCGCCCCCCCTCGTGGCCCAATTGTTGAAAAACGCATGCTAAGGTGCCCTCTTGGGAGCCAAAATACACTAAATTGCCCTCTTGGGTGGAAAAAACACTCAGCTGCCCTCTTCTAAGTTCTGTTATTAGGTAGATGCCTGTTGCATGTTTAAGGAGGAGCTACCTCACTACGTCTTGTGGGAATAGCTTTTCAAAGCCAGCCAGTAAAGTTAAAAGTTGGGTTATTGTAGGGTGACCAGACGTCCTCGATTTTCGGGGACAGTCCCCGATTTGGCCGACCTGTCCCCGGTTAAAGCTGTCCCTGAAAATGTCCCCGATTTGAATGGGGGAAAAAAAAGTTGCTTATGGATGCACACTCCAGTTATTATGGTTAAACCAGTTTAACTAACGTGCTGACGTTACGTGCGCGGTAAATGGCTTGTGTCGACCGGCTGGTCTCTTTTTGTTTGCTTTTTTTTTATAAAACACACGCGCGCTGCTCCCGCTCTGCTGCGGCACATCCACGCCACAACAGCAGAGCGCTCCTCTGCTCGTCCGTGCAGCTGCAGGTGAGTGACGGGGGAGCCAGCTGGAGAGCGCCTCCTTCTTTATTTTATTTTAGGGGCACCGTCCTTACAGGGGGACGCGCGCTTGCAGGTTGCACTCTATTTGTTCTGACTTTCTATCACAAGGAGTGCACAGTGTAAATGTAAATCCTCTCATGTAATGCTTTGTTGTGAAATATGGCTGAAGTCACGAGTGGAAGTGTGCACATGTTGACAAGCTCCCATGAGTTGATTGACATAGCTAAAAAAAAAAAAAAAAAGCTATAAATAATAATAATAATAATAATAAGAAGAAGAATCAGAGTCAAATCAGAATCCAAGTTCTTCATATTGGTTAACAGTTTGGAAGGGTTAAGGGTAACTTCTTATTGGCTACTCATTTGCTTTGTCAAAATACATTAACATGTAATTGCCCCTGTTATTCATTTCATAACGATAACGATTAACGATTTTGACCACTGCACTAAAAAATGTCCCCGATTTTCATTTCGGAAATCTGGTCACCTTAGGCTAGATACATTTAGGCTAGCTCATTTTAGAGCCATGAATGAGCCCAGTTTATTCCACGGAGCAGTTAATGTGTCTCACACCTTTTCAACAGCTATGGCTTAAGCTTTGATATTGTTTTATTTTAATTCAGTTTCTTTTGTTGCTGTTGAAAACACAGCATTCAGGAGTGCACACTGTCTGATTCTCTATGACACATTACTGTTGCAGTGACTTTAATGTTGGGCCCTTTGTTGATCTGTATTGAGCCAGAACTATATCTCACAGAACCAGTTTGGATTATCTGGTGCTAATATGGTGTTAAAATGCACTAGAATACAGGAAATGGCTTCTACTTAATTGAAAACGTTCTGGGGGAAGACCCCCAGACCCCCTAGGGATTTATGTCCTTCATACATCCATGTCACTGTGTGTTCTTCACAGTCCAACATTGAAATCCTCACAGTTCTCGTGGATGTGTATCCTAACAGCAAACTAACCTGAGTAGTCTGTCTAGTTAGTCTGTTTTAAGGCTATATAATGTGCCATTTGTATAACATATAAAACGTGTCTAAAGTGCCCTCTACAGTGGTGAGGACGTGCTTTATGTGCCCTTTTTTTTCTTTCCGCCCCTGCCCTTCAAAAAGTCTGTGCACGCCACTGCCCTCTACATCTCATACAGATAGACATGGTACCCTTTAACATCTGTGTGAGACATTTTTAACACATGGTAAACCGTGTGAAACAGTCCCTGTTTGGTTGTCGAGCAACAAAAGGAAAAGGTCATGGTTTGCGTTAAAATAACTGTGTTACTTTACGTTAATCATGTGACATAAGTGACGCTACAAGTCACGTGAACTATATGTAACTTATGTAACTGAAAACCTAAAATGACATCAGATACAATCAACATTGAGTTCTGGTCTTACAGAGGACAGGACCCCCAGTCCCCCTGGGTTAGTTTGACCCATCCATCCACCCCACCACCTTCATATGTGGACTTTCTTGCTCTTTATACGACGTCACCAGACACGGATGGGTTTCTGTTGTGTGTCTCATACAGATGTTAAAGCAGGGGCCTTAAAAATACCGGCTCTGGGGCCATTTCCAACCCGTCACATGTTATTAAACATATCCCGCAAGATTATTATTATTTGGAATATTTTTTCTATTTGGTTGAACTAACAACTCCAACAGTGGCCGGAAGGTTATTTGAGTTTCACAGCCCTGTGTTAAAGGTACCTTGTTAGTCTGTATGAGACACAGAGGGAGTGTGACAAAGCATCTGACTACCTGGAAACAATAACAGGCTGAAAATACTGGTACTTAATCAAAGTGAACATTTCATTCACACAATGACATAATTGCTATCATTATTCTCTTTAAAATAACTTTAACATTGTAACTTACTGTTTATGTTGTGTTTCCACACAAAGTAGACAAGTAACAATATAATCAGGATGCAAACAGCCAAAGTAACAGCCAAGCCAACTGTGGCAGAAGAAGAGCTGGACTCAACCTCAAAAAAATCATCTGAAATGATAAAACACAAAAAAACATGGTAATTATAGAAAAGTACAGTTGACCTCAGCTATTTAAAACAGCGATCCCTTCATAAAAAATATATATAAATAAATGTTAACCAGAAATATAGATGTGTGTCTCTCTGGTCTGGTGGATGTCCTTCTGTTGGACTCTACAGGTGAAGTTGTTGCTGTGTCTCTTCTCCACAGTCACTCTGCTGCTGACAGTATAGAGGTCATCAGGACCTCTGACTGTCTCTGTAGGTCCAGCAGAGAGGAGGTTTCCCTCACCGTCCAGCCAGACCACCTCAGGCTCTGGATACCAGCTGTTAGAGTCACAGCTTAAGATCACTGCTCCTCTTTTTCTTTCAATCCCCAATAAACTGATGTCAGGTGAGGAGGCAGTGTGTGATGCTAGGCAAACAGAAAGGTTTAACAGAGTGGTGTCAGTGAAAAGGAAAATAGTGATACTAACAATAATACCATACCACAGTTTTATTCCCCAAATCATTGAAATTAAGAAAATAACTTTCAAAGTTTCAAAATCTGGTGCACCATGTGAAAAGGCTAAATCTTTGCTGCAGCGGCCATGGGTTTGACTCCGACTGATGGCCCTTTGCTGTGTATCATCTTCTCTGCCTCTCCCCCCTTTCCTCCCACTCTTCAGCCATCACTATCGATTAAAGGCAATAAAAGCTGTCCCCCAAACAAACAACAATAAAAGCTTCCTCACTGCTATCAGCAACAACAATAAAAGCTTCCTCACTGCTATCAGCATGAAACAATTCAATCTGACCTCCTGCAAGTTTTATGCCCCGTATATGAAATGCAACAAAAGTGGCATTCTCTCATCTCAGAAACATTATGTTGGCCAAGGTATGGCCAATGCAGTTTTAACTCACCTTCTTATTAAAAAGTCCATTGAGACTCCAGCAATGTTCAGTTAGTTGCAATCTGAAACTTCACCACTAGATGCCACTAAATCCTACACACTGGACATTTAAATGTATTTTTATAAGTTGTGAGTTCTCACTCAAACTGTTGACTGGATGCAGAGCCTACACCAAACCGCACTATGAACACTCACTGTGTGTGTACTTACCAACAACAAGCCTCACAGAAGATTGTTTTTGAAGCAGAGGAAGGTCGCATTCATATGTTCCCTGATCAGAGCGTTGTACTTTGGAGAGTTTCAGTGAAATGTTTCCGTGCTTCAGTTCATTGATGAACAGTGATGTTCTTCCTTTGTAGGATGGATTTCTTTCTTTTATGAGATCCTGACCAGCACGCCACACATGGATGAATATAGGTTTCAGGTCAGATCTCTTCCACTCCACTGTCTCTGCAGTAACATCCAGTGCAGGTTGCAGGTGACATGGCAAAATTATGTCATCCCCAACTCCTGCCAGTATTGACTGAAGTGGACCAATTAACCGAGACTGACCTGGAACATATTAGATCTGTTCATTAATTCCTGTGGTAAGAAGTGGCTACAATGCACTGTTGGAATAATACACAGCATTTGTCTTAAAGTAAATTACCAGTCATAGCAGCATTATTTTCCATTGATAGAAAAGTGGAAGGTGAAGATAGTTCAAATGTTTACACTGAATATATTTGATTAACATAGCAGAAGATACCTTATTAACATACGTAACACGTAATTGAATTTGATCTAAAACCCGAAATATGAAGAGCATTTGTGTGTTACTTACCTTTACAAGAGTGTGTTAGGAGAAGATGTAAAACCAAAACACTGAGGGGCCAGAGTGGAGACTGAAGTGTGAGTCGGTCTGTCTGGTGAAGCCTCCTGCAGCCCTGAAAATGGAGCAGTTATATGATGTTTTAAAAAATGCTTTTGAATCGTTTCTTGTAGGTGAAATGAATGATGTAATTGAGGCCTCACACAGGCTGATATATTATTTAGAACCTACTGTGGGACAAATCCCAGATACAGTCAAAATGTAAAATACATCAAGTGCTTCTTCTAAATCAAAGGTTCTGTTATCTCCTCTATTTTGTCATTTGTTTTACCTGGCTGATTTAAAAATAACATTTAATAACAAGTACAATTCAAAAACAGATTGTACATATAAGCATACCTATGCATGGTGCAATAAAAACTTTGTTATACTTGTTATAACTGTTTGCATCAACATTTCCAATGACAGAGACCATACATGCAGACCTACTTTTGTTCTAGAAGATGATATTGTCTTCTAAAATAGAAGTTGAAACATGTAAAATCGGCAAAAACAAATGAATAAGACGACGTACCTGCATGATGTGTCGGCCGTTTAATCAGACTGCACGGCAAGTCTGTAAATCATTGATTGTGACCTTATCTCACTTTATTCTATCCAGTGCAGGTTGCTGCATATTATTTTATTTAATCCAGCAGAAACAAATCAAAAATGAAATTTCAGATTTACTGAAAGTACCAAACGTGTTATAATCAATCTATCACTTAAGGTTAAACACAATATGGGGCTCCTGTCTGGGTTCAAGAACTAAGATCACTTTCACTTTGATTGTCTTTGTTAACAGTTGAACTTTGAGCCTGTTGCTAGGTAACTGATCACTAGTATAACATATTACAGCTGCAATTAAAGCATCAAGAGCAATAACAATGATTTTCTAATGTCTTACCAACTTGAGAAAAGGGAAGTGTTCATGAGGTAGTTGTTAGGTCCATTATCTTACTGCAGGGGGCAGAACAGGACTTCAGATTCACACTGACTGACTTCTTTCTCAGGTCCATGCTGTTCATACGGATGCTGATTGAAGCCCAGCAGCATCTTCATCTGTTCATACTGACTGTAGCTCTTCAAAAATATTTCTGCCTGCAAAACAAAATATCCATTTGTCTTTCAGCTGTCGGGGTACAGCACAGCAGGTCTGTTCAGTTGTCTATAGGTACAGTGAAACCCTATCTGGTGGCACAAGAACACAACAGCTGCGTTGATGTTAGCCCCTCGGCTTAATTGTCCCCCTTGCAACCAGGACAATAGGCACAAGGTTTACACATTGCATCTGATATGTTTGCACAATCGTGCTACGAGTTATGTTGCATTATTGTAGTCTCTCCTCCTGGGAAACAGGAAACTACTAGTAGGAGCTTTAGGTTTGAGTCTCAGTCATCAAGGTCGTGCTATATCTATAAATATAAGTCCAGGGCTGATCGCAGTTCTTAGTCAGCTTCTTAACTTGTAAGCAAAGGGGTGTACCACAGAGCTGTATGTTGAAGCCACATGAGTTTGGCCTCAGCTTTTCAACATCAGAAAACCAAACAGGAAGAGGAAGCTTTCATCTGCATTCTACTTCAGCTAAACTTCAGTCTGATGCTCAGTCAGCACCGAGACAACATGGTGGTTGCAGCTTTCTGCTTCAGACTGTGTGAGTACTGCATCTCAGGTCTCTTCTTTTCAAGTGTGACATGTTCCTGTATGAATATGTACAGTAAATGAGTCTAAGGTTGATGTATAGTTTGTTTTCTTTGTCTATACAGTCATGGTTGGATTCATTCTGCTGGGTGCACATGTTGAGAACGGAGGTAAGTAGGACTCAGCAAAAGATAAGACAAATATTTTATGTTTGTATATTGGTAATATCCTTTAAACTTCTAAAGGATGGTATCATTAAAGTTGTTACATTTTTGTGCAGTAATGATCCAGAATTTGAATTGTCATGACTTACATTTCAAATGTACGTCAGACTGCACTAATTAAACTGTCACAATGTGCTGATGTCTTGATTTTGTGCTTTAAAAGAGATTTTTCCAGCAGTTTAATTTGTTTTTAACTCACTCTGTCTTTCTGTCTCAGATGCAGCTTTTCGTATTGTTCCAAACAGACTGCAGGCCTTTCAATACGAGTCCGTCTCCTTTCACTGTGAGGGTCTCGATGGCTCCACTCAGTGGAGAGGGATCAGGAACACTGTGGGGTTCATTTCAGCATGCAGTGAGGGGACTCCAGTACTTTCTTGCACCATTCACAGAGCCTATCCATCAGACAGTGGAGAGTACTGGTGTGAGACTGAAGGAGGAGAGAGAAGCAACAGCGCCAACATCACCATTACTGGTATGTTAAATTAAGTTTCTATAAAAGGTCACTGCTTGAAGTCCATGAGGTTATGTCCTCAAATGTAAAAATAAATACCTTGAGAGAACTAAAAAAACAGATTAAAATCAACCTTGCAAGCTTACTCCCAGAAATTAGACATATTGTAGTATTTCACCAAATTCATAGGTTTAGTGTTGCCACAGCAACGCTTTGCCACTTTTATCGCGAAGGGAGGAAATAGAATATTTGCTGTTCTCATAATCTGGTTGAAATTCATACACACTTTTCCTTGAAGATCCAATCCTCAATAAAGCTTATGTCTTGACATTTAAGGTGTGTTAATTGATTCACAACATTAACTTATGCAGGAAAAACATTCCACCTTAAAAGTTGCTGGTAGCCTTTGAGTGGAAGAATGAATTAAACACTTCTTCTCCAGTCTCTGTGCTACTTAAAGAGCACTAAAGGCCTTTGTTTTTCAGGGGGGTCAGTGATCCTGGAGAGTCCAGTCCTTTCTGTAAGAAAAGGTTACAATGTGACTCTGAGCTGCAGAAACAAGACGACTTCCTCCAACCTCACAGCTGGTTTCTATAAAGATGGCCTCCTCATGGGCAGCAGCTCTACAGGAGAGATGATCATCCACAGTGTTTCCAAGTCTGATGAAGGACTCTACAAGTGTAAGATCTCTGGAGCTGGAGAATCAGCAGAGAGCTGGTTGGCTGTCAGAGGTGAGACATTGCAATGTTTAAGATTAAAATAGATACAATTGTTTTTATGACTATTCTTTAAAAAATATTAATTGAAACGTATGAGTTTATGTTACAGAAATAAAATAAAGTCAATGTTGAGAGAGGGCTAAAACAAGGCATAACACTGATATCGATCGTCCCATCTAACTCCCACAAATTGAGCAAACCAGGGTCTTTCATCAATGTTCAGAATGAAGTTATACAGCCTTTGTTTTTCAGCTGGTTCAGTGATCCTGGAGAGTCCAGTCCTCCCTGTGAAAGAGGGCAACAATGTGACTCTGAGCTGCAGAAAGAAAATAACTGTCTCCAACCTCACAGCTGATTTCTATAAAGATGGCCTCCTCATGGGCAGCAGCTCTACAGGAGAGATGATCATCCACAGTGTTTCCAAGTCTGATGAAGGACTCTACAAGTGTAAGATCTCTGGAGCTGGAGAATCAGCAGAGAGCTGGTTGGCTGTCAGAGGTGAGACATTGCACTGTTTATCTTCTAATGGTTCTATAAAAAGCAGAACAGCAACCTGATAGATGTTCAGTATGTACCAGAGTAATGCTACAGCAGCCCTTAGAGACAACCTGTGACACACTGTTAATACTGCCATGCTGTTACAGCACATATATCCTCTTGTCTTTGCAGCTCTTCACACAGAGACTTGTCCCTCCTCAGATCACTCCTTTAATGTTCTCCTCCTCTTAAGGACTGTGTTCACCATTGTGATGGTGGCTCTGCTGCTGCTGCTGGTGGGACTACTTCACTGTGGGAAACTCACAGTTACACAGAAAACTCATGTTCATATATAAAGTATATATATATAACTAATACAGAGTATATTTGTCACTCTCTCACCCACAGAGGTACTGACTGATGTATGAAGTATTTATAAAAGGCGAGCTGATGGTTTATGTTGTTCTGTGTTTTGTTTTAGACTGATGATGCTGGTGATAATTTGAGCTTCTCAGACACAAACCACATGAGAAAACGTGTGTATGTAGAAGAGGCATTCAGGAGCCTCGGTAGAAACAGTAAAGCGTTAGTGGTTTGATAGAGCTGAGTAGGTGAACTGTGTCTCGAGTAGGCCTCATATATATTCATCAATGTAACCACAGAATATGAAGTAATAATAAAAATATATTCACATTAAACCGTCTGCTGTGTTACTGCAGCACCTGACTTTAGTTCAGTCTGTCCCAAAATAGCAAATAGCAAACAGATGATAACATAATAAGAATACATGTGAATGGTGAACATATCATTACACCATGAGCATGTTAGCATGCTGACTGTAGCATATAGCTCTGTGCAGCCTCATGGAGCTGGGGTCCATGGGGACCAGGGGTCCGCTCTTTTTGCTCAGGAAGGTTCCTGACTGAGTGAAAGGACCTGGAAGGATTTCAGTGGCAGCCATGATCAGAGAACATTCTCTAAATGCTGAGGAAAGATGCTTCGATGCTTCCTTTCTTATCTCTATAGCAACGGATACACTGGACCATCTTTTTAGCTACAAAAGGAGATAATGCCATCCCACAATTCCTTGCAGCAGCAACATTTAAAAAGCTGCCTGGTTTACGAATACAAACAATCAAAGGACAATGGAAACATGTAGAGCATGTCAAGAAGCATAATGAGAGAAATAGAAAATAACAATAATATACAAAAACATATTATAAAGACAATAAAAGACATCATGTAAAATATGGTTGCTATTTCAATGGAAGATGTGTAAAATATCACAGTAATAATTATAAAGAATATTTGCAATGTGCAGAAGAAGATTCTGATATGTGCACATCATTATTCACATTTTTTAAATTAATTTAATTAATAGTTAAATCAGGACATTTTCAATGAAATTTCACTTCATCTGGAAAGAACATTAGCCCAGTATGTTAGAAACACTATAACCAATTTGAAAAGAACTGATTTTCAACAGAATTTCTGCATTAGATTTAATTTAATTTATTAAGGTTACTTTTATTTTCATCAACAAAACAAAAATAATGTCCATATATAAAAAGATAGATAGATAGATAGATAGATAGATAGATAGATAGATAGATAGATAGATAGATAGATAGATAGATAGATAGATAGAGAATTCTAAACCTACATTTTAAATTCAATAACAAATAATACAAAACATAGAAAGACAAAAAATATCTTCACTGTGAAGAAGATCCAAAAGACGACTGTTACAAATCTGCTGTTTACTGTTTGTACATTAGTGTTACACCTCAATGGAAAAGAAACTTCAGCATAAATATTAAAAAATTCAAAATAATAATTCCTGAGTTACGTAAAATCTGATTTAATGTCTGTTTAATGTATTTGAACCATTTTAATAGTTAAATTCTAATAATTCATAGAATTATATTTAGCTTTTTTCACCACATTTGAAACAGAAGATGTTTTGAATTGTTAAGAATAAAAATGTAATGTGTTATATTCAATATTCATAAAGAGAAGGGGTTCATTGTTTTTTTACTGATTGTAAAGTCATGTGA